TGAGATATCAACTCACTGAAGACAATGGTGTACGGTAGCGCAACTTCATATATATATATATATATATATATATATATATATATATATATATATATATATATATATATATATATATATATATATATATATATATATATATATATATATATATATATATATATATATATATATATATATATATATATATATATATATATATATATATATATATATATATATATATATATATAAAGAAATAACTCCGCCTGGAGTCCCTCTGAGACTACCGCCGGTCCCAAGCCCGGATAAAGAAGGAGGGTTGGGCATGGGGTTAGCGACCCCATCCCATAGAAAACTAACTCGCTAAAAAAACGCCAACCAAAAAGAAAGAAATGGTCGTCTAATCTAGAAATGGGGGTAAGAAGAGACAAGGATAATAAATAAAATACTATGAAGACAATTTGAAACCTCATCATTCTGGATAATATGGATAGGTTTAACGTGAGAACAAACTCATCTTGAATAATATAAAGGGAGTTTGAATTTTTCATATGGTTAAGGCTTCAATAAACCTTAGTATACGCCCTTTTACAATTTTGTACAACATCACAAATGCTGAGTTAAGATCAATCTTATGATCTTTTTCATTTATGCGTTTGACAATAGAGGATGATGGATGTCTATCTTCTACTCTTATTGAGTCATTTGATTATATTTGTTTCTGTAACTATTTTGGTATATGTTCACATACCCTAATTTTGTGATCACAATTACTTATCCCTGTGTACGTGTGACCACACACACACACATTTAAATTGGTAAACACAAGTATATATGTGATTAGATTGTTCGAAATGTATCGCACTAATATATTATCATATAGTTCTGATAATCTTCATCTTATTACATTATTGAAATTTATCAAAGGGACTAATCGCTCTAGATGGTACATTTACTTACATTTTACTTGTAAATCAACTCGTGATAGTCAACTGTTCAGAACTATCTAGTTTCAAAGGGTATACAGTTAAAGTTAATCCATGAACTAAACTATCTCAAAGATCAATGTATACTTTTAATGGACAGCAATGATGATAAGATTACCTATCTATGTATTCACTTTGTTTCATACACATAGTTCCTTTTATCATTTTGAAAAGAGCAAGAACAAAGATTCTAGCAGAATAACATGAATTCACTTTATTTCGTCTTATTCTCGTCAGCTGTTTACAACCTGTGGTATTTAAAAAGATAATAATTACTTAATGGGTTTAAATTGCTTACATGAGAGGGTTTATATTGAAGAAATATTCGTAAAGTATGACATGGGTGTAAATGAAATTAATAGGCTGAATATTGTAAATCTATACCTAATGTGAAAGAATATTCTAGAACATTAATCGTGACAGCAGTTCAAAAGTGGGTTAGAAACAATTGATTACATAATGAATAAACCTTGATAGGAATATAATGAGTAGAGTCCAGTTGAAGTATAGTTGAAAAATAAAATAAAATCAATGATGTAATAAATATAAAAGACAAAAATAAAAAATTTTAGGCTGCAGCGGAAGAATATTTGCCACCAAGGCAGGGAAAGATTAACAATCATCTCCTTTTGAACACATAAATCAGGTTTTTGGCGTCTGATAGCAACTGCTTCAGCAAACTTCAGATGACTGGAGTTTGGATGCTTACTAATCATCTTGAATGATTGCAGGGTGTCAACTTGATGGCCTGTGTCAAGGAGATGTTTAGTGATTGCACTAATTAGAGTCTTTCTTTCTCTTGTTCTGAGGCTTTTTGTAACATGTTCAAAAAATCTGAGATATGCCCTCCTTTCTGTTCGGCCAATGTAGCTGCTTTGGCAGGTACATGTAAATTTATAAATACAATTGGCAGTAACATGAAAAGGATGCTTATCAACCTTTGATTGAGTTATTGAACATGTTGTTTTATACAGAATTTGAAGTTTGGCCGCCGGATAGGTTCTGGCTAGCGCAGTATTAAGTCTCCTGTTGATTGTGTTAGCAACATCATCACCTTTGAAGTTAAGACTTATAGTTATTGGTTTTTTATTGACAGTAATTACTTCAGTATTATTTTCTTTATGCTTTTTATATTTGTCAATAAACTTTTGTGGGTATTAGTTGTCCCGTAGGCATTTTTGCACGTTCATCAATTCTTCTTCCAGCTTATCAGTGGTACATATCTTTTCTGCCCTATAAAATAGTGTTTTAACTAGTGCCTTCTTGTAGCTGAGTGGACAAAAACTATTGAAATTCAGGTAAACGTCATTCCAAGTACTTTTTCGATAAACCGAACGTTGGACTGTTCCGTCTCTCCTACGTTTGATAGCAACACCAAGAAAGTGGAACATGTCATTCTGTTCGTGTTCCATAATAAATTGTATGTTAGGATGTGCATTATTGAAGAGTTCTAGCAGACGGATTGCATGCTGTTTATTGTTACAGACAATGAACGTGTCATCAACATATCTCGAATATTCCGTCGTTTCGCTAATCGCCTGATTAAGCACCATGTTTTCAAGATACCCTATAAAAATATCTGCCAGAATTGGACCTAGTGAGTTTCCCATTGCTACGCAGTCGATTTGACGATATATGGTGTTATTGAACTGGAATTGAACATCTGTTATGCACATTATTAGTAGTTTTTTTGAATTCTGGAGCTGGTAAAGGTAGGAAATTGTAATTCTGACAAATAATATCAATAGTTTCAAGAAGTGGTATATTGGTGAACAAGGATGTTACATTAAAAGAAACCATGAAATTATCGGCAACATTCGTACGATTTAGTCTATCAGCAAACTGGAATGAATCTTTAAACGCATATGTTGCTAATCTCCGACGAATCGGCTCTAACCACCGTGCGACTTTATGATACGGTGAGTTGATCATTGATAAGATAGCTCTAAGGGGAACGTCATGTTTGTGAACTTTTGGTAAACCATACATATGGGGTAGACGTGAACCACGTGGTCTTAGATCATTGTGAGTAGAATTATCAATCATTTTCCTTTTTAGGAGTTCGCTAAGCATGCCTGTGACTCGTTTTTCTGTTGAATCAGTCAAATCTTTTTTTGGATTTATCTACCTTGAACCTCACTTGATCGTCGAGGATTGACTTTATCTTAGTGACATAATCAGCTGTATTCATTTGGACGACACCTGAACCTTTATCTGGTCGTAAAATCATCACCTCATTATTTTGTTTAATGTTTCTGAGGGCTATTAGATGTTCTTTGGATAGAATACTCGACTTTGGTGTCGATGACACAAAGTATTGGTTGGCAATATCAACTAACTTTGATTCAAACCATCCTTTCTTTTCCTCATTCACTGGCTGCCAATCCTTTAACTGGTCAAACAGATTTTCGAATTGAGCTTCTGTATCAATCCTGTCAGTATTTGTTTTTGGTATATGAAATTTGAGTCCCAGTGATAAGGCTTGTGTTTCTATACTATTAAGCTTCGTATTTGATAAGTTATAGACAAACATCGAAGGGTTTTCGGGAAACCCTAAACATAGTTGTTCTCCTACCAAGTTTTCGATAGAGATTTATGGAAATCCTTGCAAAAATCTTGATTTGAAGATCACGAATAAAGTTCATGAATCTTATTCGGCATACAATGTTTAGATCATTAACAGCTTTAACAAAAGCACCTGCTTCAGTCCTTAGTCATGTAATGAGTAAAGATTTTACAAACTGACGTGGGAAACAGCCCGACGTGAGATATTCTCCAAAAAACATGAGCCTTGTCACTTCTCTTGATATTCTGCAACGTAATATTTGGTAGTTTTGATGATTGATTGATGCCTGATAAAATTCTCATCTACAGTCAAATCACTAATTATTCCATTATGCAGTAGAAAGTAACTAATTGTGTCCGAGGTTATAATAATTAACATTACTAGTATTCTAGTGAATTGCAACAATTGGTTTATAGAAATAAGTATACATGTAAAGCTTAGGCTATAAATTAATTGGGAAAGATTCCATCCAATTTCGCAATGATATTAGTTTATGGAAATCATTTTCAAAATCCTTCACAGTTATTCCTCTCTTGAATTCTGCCTGAGCACTGTTGAATGGTTGAATTAGCTAAGAATAACTAGGCAGACTTCTAATAACGTTTTATTTCTTTTCAAAGTAACTTAAAATGACAGTTATTAAAATGTATTAAATCAAAACACTATGAGAACTAGGTTTGAAACCGATCTCTTCAAAGATCTTAGTTACCAGGTTACCGAAATGAATGTACCAAACGATTTCAATCGAGTGGTCTAAAAGGTATCATATTCACTAAGAAGTCTGAAAGTCTTGACAGGGGTGGTGGATAGGTATTTTGAGAGGTCTCCTATTTGAATAGTAGAATTTTATAGCACTCTCTGGGTTTTAATGCAATATATTTCAAATTAAAACAGAGATATGATTTGATCCACATGATAATTAATATCACAGATGATTTAGTAATTATTATAAATAAATATTATTCACAATGATGAGTTATTGAGATGGCTAAGGTGAAATTGAATCTCCAGGTCTTAAATATTTACGAGGACACTATTAAAGGGTCGTCTACAATCTAATTATCCTATCTGAGCTACAAATCTTCTCCATCATCTCAAAGATCGTTTACTCAGACTACGCTTTTATCAATGAATTCAAACTATATAGTCAATTACTAGGCTAGAAATAGTAGTGGTGAATTACTAATTTAATTACTGTGCGCTTTAAATGTTTTATTACTAATTGTTTTGATATATGACTATTCCATAATACAATTCTGTACTACTGATTCTAAATTTGCACTTCTCAGGGTTTCTTTTATCGTTGTCTTGTCTATGTTTCAATGAATTATTTCCAATTTAAAGTATTACTGAATCACTCTATAACTGACATCTCTGTAATCATGATTTTCAAGAACCATTAAAGAGTTACCTAAGAAAAAGTCACTGAAGAAAGCTGAAGACTGTTTAGAACACTTATATGTATAATGCTCATCCAATAACTCGTAAAGTGAAATACCATCTTTCATTTCAATAGTTCCATTGGAATATATGCTTGTGTTTGGTAAAAGAAGTTTTGTATATCCTTAGAAAACTCCATTATTATGTTCAGTTATAGAAATATACATTTTTCTCCTTTCTCTTCACTTTAGTTCTCTTCAGTTATATTCTTCATCAAAACAAATGACTTATGTATTCAAAATTAACTTGTAAAGAAGCAAAATCTCCTCCATTAAAAATATTGATTGATTATACAATATTTAATTATGTTAGTAAAATTATTTTTGTCTTCGTTACTAAAATACACTTGATTTATCACATCTTAATAAAAGCAATAGAGGAAACGCTTTTATCCTTCTATCCTTCATCATCTCCTTCATCATGCAGTACCGGTACACCTAAAGTACAAAAACAAAAAAATTGAAAACAATTAGCTGAATCAGTACTTTTTATCATTAGTTTAAAGCTGTTTATCAGTAGTTAAAGAGAATGTTAAATAAATACATTATCTGGTCTGAAATTAAACAGATTGATGTGTTACTATCTAAACTTTAATATTTACCGTGTTTCAATTGCTTTTTATTTCATTATAGTATTATTCTTTTTTTCTAAATTAAGCTAATTAGATAAATGCTGTTAGGAACACAACAAACACACAAGTAAACTGATGTGAATAAGGGTCACATTAAGGATTAGCAGCCACAAATGTTATGAGTTAAATTTGGTGAGCTGAATCACTGTTTTTCCAGTTAGACAGTATAGAAGAAAATTAATGATATTGTAATTAGTTTTCCAAGTAATCCAAGAGAAATTAACTGGTAACTAGGGAATGTAAGGATATAAGTTACTTAGCGACAATTAATCTAAAGTTTGAGATAAATATGCATCCATTCACATTGCCATACCAACTAAACAAAGCAAAAGGAAATTAACAAGATGAATAGCAAATGAATCAAAACAAAAGTAGTATAAGTAGTAATAAAAAGTTGAAACCTATATACTATGGTTTGAAGCGAACGGCTTAATCTGTGAAATAAGACGTGAAATAATATAACAACTCAAAATCTAGAGGTAGATGAATAGCTAATTAATCTGTTCCACTGTTATCGGGTTTAAGCTGCTTCGTCTAAGTTCTTTGATCATCGGCCATGATTATTCTGCTGACCATGATTAGATAGCCTAAGACTTACAACAGATATCAAACCAACGGTCCAAAATTTTGTGAATCGACACCACGTTTTGGTAAGCACAACCCACTTAATTACTATGAACCAAAAATCGTCGAAACTACACTTACCGACTGTTATGATTTGTGGTTTCTGTTTTTTCCATATTCACCATCTGATTTCTTGAGAGATCTTTACCAGATTTAGTTGTAAGGTTTATTTTATAATTTAGCTCAATTAAGCCAGTTTTAATACACATGACTATGACTGGCACCGGGCCATTTTATGTTTAAAGCTGTGCTCACAGTTGCTTTCGAGTCTTAAGGCAATTTGTGAATAAGTTGTAGACTTTTCCTTTATGGAAATAAAATCATTTGTTCACGAACTGGAAATTCATACAGTAGAAGAACCTTTTGTTGACACAATGAACTGATCAACCTGACAAAACTGAACGGCTGCTTCATTCTAGTACAAAACTCTTTCGGAGCGTACATCCACAATTCCGCATGAGGGGCTCGATATAAATATGATTAGCAAACAGATGGATAGATAAGCAACGAGGCAAAGGAATATTGAAAAGATTCACGAATATGACATCCGAATTAATCGCATGACTGATCACACGTTAACTAACAGAATTAAATTAATACACCTGACAGTCATATACTCAGTCATATATCGTATTCCTAAATGAGCATACAATTATGTTCATTTAACATGTCCATAATATATACCATAGAATAATTATCTGTGGATTACACGTTTTGTCCTACTTTTGGAGCCACATATTAATAAGAGGTAGTCTGAGTGAAACACATAAATACTTAGGAATTATTGCTACTGTCATGTGAACCTTCTAAAGAGATGTTTCGACTAATTTGATCACCAATTTAAGTTTTGGAGGTAGTTCCTTTTAGACTATCGTATTACGGCTTACCTGGTGCTATTTTTGTTCTGTTTGCCACATTTCAGATACCCATTTCTGACTATAAGATCTTTTTCTTCAGTCGCTAACCAGATCTACACAAATATACCCAGCCGGATATCCATCATTCTCACCAATATTGGTGCACAAATTAAAGTCATTCTAAGCTCTCGCTTATTCGACAACTATTTACTAATGTATTATTCTAATTGGTTCTACTCCATCACCTCTGAGGTTAAATTTTTATCTTTATGACTTTAGGAACAGTTAGAGGCGAAACTAATGGATATAGAATTCTTATGGCCGTATGGCGTTATATATGTTGAGACAAGACTAAATATACATTACAGGAAGTTTTAAATTTGAAACTAACCATCCAGCTTTTTAAGTTTGGGAAGCCTTTTACACGCTTCCTCTCTCCATTTGTCACCACTGTTTTCCTCTAATGGGTTGCCTAAATCGTATTAGGTTGTGACTCACTAAAACGGAAGCTTACCAACAAAGAGAAGATCCTCAAGAACTGGAAGATCAGCTAGTTTCTGAAATTCACTCCAATCTTTCACGAAATTGTTTGACATATATAGTACTTTTAGTTTTCTAAGTACGTTAATCCCTTTCATCTTTTCAATATTGTTGTAGGAAATCCACAGTTGCTCAAGCGTGTCTCCAACTGGTTCAAGTCCCGTCAGATTTTTAATGTTATTTCTTGCTAGAGAGAGTATTTTCAAGTTTTCTAAGGCAATATTTAATTAGTCATATGTTACTTAGTCCATTTAAATTCGAAATTTTTTCTATACAGTTGGTTGAAAGTGATAGTTTTCTGAATTTGTTCGTACAAAGTAAAAAATTTCATACTCGCACATAGTCAAGGTGGAGAGTGAGGCATCCATTTTTTCTGTTGGGGGATACTGTCCATAAAGTTTTACTTCTGTTGCTTCCGATGCTTTCTGTCCTGTTTTTTCCTCCTAAACGGGCCTCAAGTTTAAATTCGTATCTTACCCATTTTTTAATCGCTTCTTTAATAGTTGTGGGCTTGTCCTAACAATCAAAAAACTGAATTAATGAAGCGTCGGAAACATACCATTTTCAAAATTACACAGCTTGTTGTTATGCCAACGAATCCAAAGTTGACCTTACGAATAGGATGTTATTTCAGATCCGAATCATAATGGTTGAAATGGGATATTTGTTACCAAGAGGCACGCATGGTAGCAAATAAATTTGATATTTCATATAATTGCAATAAAAGAACAAATGTTCTCTTCATTGAGTGACGTTGTGTATGTAATCACACCAACACTCAAAATTTGTTGTTTCAATTTCAGTTTAGAAAGGACAGGAGGCCTGATGGCCTGTGTTAGTCCTTGCAATGGTAGTCCCTCAGTTGATCCAGCTTTCTTTTGAAAGAATCGACGGATGGAGCCTCAACCACGTGCTGAGGTAATGAATTCCACTCGTTGATGATTCAATGGGAAAGTCGATAGTCAATTGACAAGTAATTTGTCCTGGGTTTGTGAACATTTTTGGAGTGTCCTCTTAAGTTCTCTGTTTTGGAAGACAAGGAAAATAAGGGCATATCAGGCGCGAATTTGGCACTAAGTAAGTTGAAAACTGTAATCACGTCGTATCTAGTTCTGCGATATGACAACGGAAATAGGTTGAGCTTGGTCAGTCGAGCTTCATACGGAAGCTTCGCTATTCCGGGAATCAGCTTAGTTGCTGCTCTCTGAACCTTTTCCAGAAGTTCACCGTCTTTTTTAAGCAGGGGCTGGCCGCTTGTATGCAGTACTCAAGTTTCGGAAGTACGAACATTGTATACAAAGTCAAAAACGTCTTAGCGTCGACATGACTAAAAGCCCTACGTATTGACCATAAGGTCCTAAATCCTTGGGTGGCTATTGCATGACAGTGTGCATTAGTCTTTAAGCCTTGGCTAACGATGACTCCTAAGTCGCTGTATGTCTGGACAACAGGTAGCTCAGTGTTATTCATCGTGTATGTGTCTGTACCTTGATGACCGATATGCATCACAATACACTTGGAAATATTTATTAGCAACCGCCAGGCTTGAGATCACTCAGATAACTTCTCCAGGTCATTTTGGAGTTCTGAGCTATCACCCTTACATCGTATCGTCCTCCATATCTTGACATCGTCAGCATATAGCAAGACCGATGATGATAGGAGACGAGGAAGGTCATTTACACGCAAGAAGAATAGCACTGGCCCAAAAACTGTACCCTGGGGCACTCCACTAAGCACAATTCCCCAGATAGATAACTTTGAGTTCACTCGTACCCTTTGTTGACGCCCAACTAGGAAGTCTTCTATCCACATAAATAGATTGCCTCCAATCCCGACATCTCTTAACTTATATAACAGCCGGTTGTGCGGAACTTTATAAAAAGCTTTGCTGAAACCAATGAAGGCTACATCTACAGATAACTTTTGGTCCTTAAGAGCGCACCAGCTTTCACGAGCAACTGATAAGTTCGTGAGACAAGAATAACCTATTCTAAAGCCATGCCACTCCTCCGAAAGGATCCGGTTTCATCGAGATACTTAAACAGCTCCTTCCGAATAATTTTTTACAAGATTTTAACAACCACACTAGTTAGGCTAACGGGGCGGTAATTCTCAGGTTTGTGTTTCGTACCTGTTTTGAAGACAGAACTTACTATGGCGTTTTTTCAGTCTTTTGGAAAACGACTCTGCTTTACGAATAGATTAAAGCGTATACTTAAAGGGTTCGCAACGTAGTTAGATAATTCCTTCAGTAGCCTAGGATGTAATTCATCGGGCCCCGTGGATTTACCTATGTCAAGCTTATTTAGTAGACCAAAGACATCGAGTTCTTTAATGGTCACGCTACCCAGTGTATCTGTGGGGGATCTGTATGCATTGACAGGATGGGTGCTTCTATGGTGCATACATTGCTGAAGTAGTTTGAGAATACTTGAGCCTTACCAAAGTCGTCCTCCACTAATGATGAAGCAGTACTCTCTCCTCATTACGCTGGAATGTTTTCTCTTCTATTTGTCCTTTGGTTTATGTAGGAATACAAACGTTTAAGGAATTCTATGGATTCCCTAACAATTTTCTCTTGGTACAACCTTCTAGGCTTATGGAAGGTCGAGGCACAAGCATTCCAAGCATTTCGGTACTCAGATATTGTCATCAGTCCTCAGTAACATAAGTCTACCACACATTTTTCTTCTCTTACGGAGAAGGATGCGGATCTCCCTACTGAACCATGGTGGGGATATTCTCGGCCCCTTGGTATAGTCCAAGGGATGTGGGGTGCGGTAACTTTTAAGGATGAATTTCGAAATGCGTCCCAGGCCGTTTCAGCTGAGGACTCTGGGTCTATTGTCCAATCTACTGACGATACTGAATACATGATATCTTGTATGTTTGCTTTACAGACGTTAGGTCTGGATTAGGGTAACGTGTGCTCGTTTTTACAATTATACGGAAGTCGAGAGTTGATTAAGCAGCTGTTTAATCAGCACAATGTCATGGTCAAAACGAGCTTTTGGTTCAGAGCTCTCACTCTCCTTGATTCTATGAAAAATAGCTGATCTGTCGCTGTGATCAACTTTCGATTTTTCGACTACTTTCGAGGGGGTAGGAGTAACTTTTATATCGCTACTTTTTTTTCTTCCTTATAACCTGTACCCATTCGTCGACGGTGCTAGGAGAAGCAACCACAGTTGCGCCAAACCTACTGTTGGATTCCGGAGGGCTGTCGACGAACTGGGACCTATCTTTCAATTTCAAAATTACTCGACCCTCGTAATTATCAGATACTAGAGTTTAAGCATTAAAATCTCATGTTTCAGGCCATTATAATGAACATGCATCTTGAGATAAATGGTTAAAAATTGTCAATGGCGGAATTTTTTTGACAGGAATGATGAACATGACGTTGCTTTGCTGCTTTCTTTGTACTGATTATAATTGATCTTGGATCCATCAAGTGTCTGAAGGATCAAATTAATAATCAGTGAGATTGACATCGGCGTTTCTTTGACCGGCCTGGATGTCATTATCCTGGAAATTTACCAATATTCTTGAATTTCCCTTTCTAAAGATTTTCGACATTTCCCCGACTAAATATGCATCGGCATTTGTTTATATGCATTGGTACACGCGATGTAATATCGCGTCTTCTCACTGTTAGTCTATGTTGCTGTATTTTAAAAGTGAAGAAATCATCCACATTTTTAGATGTATTGTTTCTAACCCTTGATACAGTTCAGTCTTTGGAGATTATTGCATTTATCTTCACTTACGGTTGTCACTTTCAATGTAAATAAAAATTTAAAAATTGATTGTGTAGGCATGTAAGCTCTATCAAAGTCTGAACTCAGATAAATACAGTGTTGTAAATAGGATAGATAATGAATTGCCATTTATGAATTAAAATCACATGAACAAGTGATATCCATTTTAAAATGGGTAAATGAGAATGGAATAAACATACGTCAAAGTAAATGTGTTTCACATGTTCAAACTATGGAATATCTCGGACACACAACAAGCTTAGAAGGGATTACATCGATTAAAGAAGAGGTAGACACTACTAGGCAATACCCCATACTAAGTTATGTAACACAACTTGGAAGTTTCCTAGGTATGGCTAAATTTTGTCATAGACTATTCCCAGCTGTTAACAGTCAATGCGACCTCTGATGGAAGGAATTTAAACTGACTTCTGAGGCTCCTAAAAAGCTGAAGAGTAAGCTGGATCGGACGTCTACGTTAATATATCCGAATTCCCATTCTCCGCTTGCTTTGATGGTATAAGCTTCATACAGAGCCGTCGGCGGTTTCCTTAAATAACTGATTTGAAACACCTGAAAACAAATTTAGTTCTCCTCCAAAAGACTCGCTCCAGCAGAAACAAAATCTTTTCACCGCAGGCGAGAACATTGCGCAAACTATCTAACCTCTAAACACTTCCGACGCACGTTGTTAGGCAGAGAATCCATGTCTTAAACAAATTATAAACCACTAACCAATGCACAGAAAGTTGCAGCCGACAAACATTCCTCCCTAGAGGTCCGACGCTTTGACTTAATATAATAGTTCACCAGCGATATCCGATATATCAAAGATCAGAACAAGCAGGTGGCAGGCACATTATTTCGGCTATTAATAAACACAACAAAACAACCTACCCTAAATTTTGAGGCGTTAGAAGGCAAGTAAAACGCGGATCAAGAATTTCAAAACCTACTTGCAGTGCGAAATCTAATCTCAAACCGAAACAGCTACCTTCTCCTACTGAAAGTAGTGTGACTTCCTGTGATACGACCAAGGCGATCCCTCGACCTTCCGCTCCAAAAATGTGGGAAACTAACATTCAATAAAGTGGGTATTTTTTCTCACCTTCGTGCGAAAGCTTCTCCCAGACTAATCAATGCTAGATATACATCGACAAATTTACAAAAATACATACACAAGTGGGTTGGAGAGTGATCAGCGCGTCAACAATCAGAGGTTAACCGTCACACAAATTCACCTATTGGAGTCTTCTCGTAGCCAGATACATGTTTTTGCATGTTCATGTCCATTCAAGCCCAGAACGAATTACTTGTCATTTGAATATGGAATTTTCCATCGAATCATCAAAGCCATCTAAATAGGCTTCGAACCTGTTACACTAACGCCCAAAGCTTCCTCAATAAGCGGTCGGAACTAAGTGTACAGATTGAATATATAAAGCCAGATATAATCTCAGTCACAGAAACCTGGCTGACACAGGCTATAGATAGTATAGAACTTGATTTCGAGGGTTTTACGTTAGTAAGGGCCGACAGAATGCAAAAGCTTAAGGGAGGGGGAGTAGCTCTATTCAGTAGGAATGCTATCCCATTTGACATTATCGACAGTGTATCTCATGAAAGTGTGACGTGTGAATTAGTTAGTCTCCGCTTGAAATGCAAGAGCTGCTGATTGGTTCGGTCTATCGCAGTCCAAGCTGTGGGGTAAATGGAGTCCTGCTAAGCAGTCTCAATACTTGGTCACAAAGTAGTCGATGTTTAATCCTAGGGGACTTTAATGCACCCATGATAGGTTGGAAATATCTGAGAACTGAACTGTCAGATAATTCCTTCAAGCAGAAGCTAGTTGGTACGGTTATTACATGTGCCTTAGTACAACATGCGACTAGGTACAACCCGGACTCTGAATCATCCTTACTGGATCTTATACTGACTCACTATGAGGATAACGTTGCGAACCTCCATTA